TTTTGTCCTTCCTCAAATACATCCGTGTATAAAGGAGCCTATCATTACTATCGTTGGCCCAAACAGCGTCTTGTCCTCAAAATAAAAAGAAAAAAGAAAGACAGAAACTGATTTTGAGTAACATTCTAAGGATCTCAGAAACCCTCAAAGTCTGGAAGCCCTTCCCATTTCATGACGACGCCTTTGCCCTATTGCCAGTGGATCAACGCACTCCAAGCACCTACTTCAGTCCAAGTTCCATTCAGGATAGGAACTCAACAATGAGAGTAGGTTAGTCCAACCAATATGCTACAGCTACCGTGTCAATTCTGTGGAGAATCTAATACAAGCCAGAGAGCTTGGGTGATAATGCAATCTATAAGGGCCGAGCATTAGGTAAACCAAGTCATTTACTTTGAAATCAACATTGCGCCTTAGATGAAACCTGAGATCATCTAAAGGCCAATATCATTTCATTAATTTCGGATCTAGTGAAGATTTGCTGGTAGTGGGTTCGCCATACTGAACTAGAGGAGGGGGTTTGCCATCAACTACTTGACGAAGAGTGGTAACAATCGACTCATGTTATGTGGGATTAATGTTACTGTTCAGTCCACGCTAAACATCACTTTAAACATTGGTGCCACTACTTCGGTTTTCATATAGGAAACAATAAAGGTAAATCTCAAAAATGCAATTGATCATCTAAATTTGGTCATCTATTTGTGAGTTAACGAGAGGGGACACTATTTATCACCTCACGACATATTCCCTTCCCACGAATAAAATACCAGTATCCATCCCCACCTTATAAATAATAATTTCTTGAAATACTCAATTTGTCCATCAATCCCTAAGAGATAAAATTGTGGTGACTCCACAATCAACCAAAATGAGGACTTGTGTCTAATCAATTTTTGCTCCTTCGGTCTCATGGTGCTTAGGTATTCAGCTTGACAACATAGTTAAGGAGCAACTCACCATCTCCCACCTCCATCGTTGGCTATTTCTACTCTTCAGCTTCTTCGTCATCACATACTTCACCAACCTTTTCCTCTTCAATTTAGATTAGCATGATCTTCAACTCATGGATTTTGTAGTGGCAGCCTACGGTGAATTATACATCCTGATAAAAATAGGGCCCTTCCCGTAGCGTGATTGTAACTAAACCGTGGACAAATGCATGCCCCAATTCCTTAACCTCTCTGCACTCATTACTAACTTCCTTTTTCCCAATAAAAGTCGCACTATCCCTCCATACTCATGTCACTTCCCTCAAATATTGCTCTTTATAACTAACTAATCCGACCTTGAATTTCCCTTTCTGTAATTCCTCATGTTTATCCATATAATATGGGACTTATCATATGGATTCTAAGCTCTCAAGCTTACGTGAGCAGTTCATAGCTATTCCTCTTCTGAGTACAAGAAAAACGTTGATTGTAGTGTAATGAAGAAACATAGATCAACAGTTTCGAAGTTAACTATCACTGCCTTCAAGAGTAACATCGAATTATATGCAATATGCATATGAGACCAAACCAGAAAGTAATGACAAAATCTTCATGCATGCATCAAATGACAACATACCGCCTCCTTGGAAATAATTGCTAGCTCGCCAGGTCGGAGCCCCAATTTCACAAACTCCCTAGCTGCGTATCCCTGCAGACCAAGAAAAGAAGTATCAGTAAGATTGAAATAACTTGTGCATGAGAAAATAAAGGTTCTCGCTCGTGGAAGTCCTTCAGCACAAATTTGGGAGAAAGAGAGAGAAATCTTTAAATAACACCAACTCTTGCAAACAAAATAAGAGCGTCTCATAGCATGAAAGAGCCACAAGTAGCAAAATTATAACAATATCTCAAAGGTTAATAATGAAAACTAGGACAAAATAGATATCCCAAGCTTCATTTCGCTTGTTAATAATCATATAGATGAATTTTGAGTGGTTTGTTAGTCAACTTTTTAAGTAATTTATTAGTTGATTTTGGTTAATTTTTTTTAACTTGGAACACATTAATTTCAAAAGCTATTCAAATAAAAGTTCAATTCGACAACTGAAAACGTCTAAGTTTAAGACTAACTCATTAATTACAGCCTAGAGATGAAATACGTTTTTCCAGTATCATAAACTTTGTATTTCAAACTTTCGACCATTACACATTCCTCCAGGAATCCAGTTTCTCGGATTCCAAACAGAGCATTCAAAAAGATCTACAATATTTGGTCATTCAGCCATGACAGAACCAGTACGACGCCATTCATTAAAACGCTGAGAAGGCAAACGATTGCCATCTCTAGCGTAATCCTCAACTGGACGAGAAAATAACAATAAACAGGTATCGATCACGAGAGCAACATTGCAACAGACTAAAATTACAGCTGCTCAAACAGATTCATTCCAATTCAAGAAAAGCCTACTAAACGCCTTAGATTTCATTTCCGTAACTCCAAATTCAACATTACAAAGACTAATAAAAGGCTAAAATCGATCTAATACACACACAAGAAAAAACCGCGTAAAACAAATTGAAACAAAATTGCAAAAAGAAGTCAGATCAGGCGATCAATGATGGAGGACGAGAGACTTACAGCAGAGACACCACCACCGACGATCACGTACTTGAAACTTTTCTCCGCCATAGTTGGTGATCGCAGAAGCTCCCTAACTTTGCTTTCTCGAAAGAGAACGGGGAAAATAAAATGAAATGAAACGCCTTTGTGATTGGTCACATATTTAAAGCTATAACTAATGTATTTTTTTATCCTTTTTTTTCCTTCGCAAAGGATCTTTTTCTTTTTTTAATATATCGCTTTGATTCTTTATATATTAAATATTTTTCAACCATTTCTTCCAACAATACATTTTTTTATAAGATATTTTTTACTGCAGTAAAGTTTTTAGTTGACAGTGTAATATAATTTAAATCTAGTCGGGCCTATCTCACAAAAAAAAAAATCTAGTCGGGCCATATAAAATAAATGGATCTTTTAATCTATAAATTAACACAAACAATTCTATCAAATTCCCATATAAAATAATTTTAATTTTTTTGACACAATTGTTTTATAAAGAATTGAAAATATATCAGTATAGCCCGTAATTGATATAAATTTTTTTTCTCTAGATTAAAGGTTTGATCCCATATTTCTAAATTAATGTTTTTCTTTTTTACTAAAAATACTGATTTCAAAATCACCGCAACAAATAAAATTTTTACACCATATTATATATAAACTTTTACGAAGTGAAATACCAACAAAAAAAAATTGGGACCCAATATTAGACAGCCGTGTGTACTTTTAGGTTGGCAAAAAATTAAAAATAATTTAAACATCGGAAATTATTTATTCGTGAGATTTTTAATAGTTGTCAGAAAAAAAGAAAGAAATCGGTGTAAACGGAATATTCCAGCGTGGCAAATCACTCGCCGTCCATCACAGGCGATGGATGAAAATGGGACCCACAATCGGCGGCTTCCAATGTAAATTAAATTCTCCCTCGTCCAAAAAAATGGCGCGTCCTTCTGGAAATAACCACCGGGACCATGCTTTTTGCCACGTCATGCACTACGTCAGCAAGTCAACCCCCAAAAAAATCAACTGTCAATTCAAAAGGGCGCAACAAATTAATAGTCATTACACATTTCTATTGTGACTTTTCATAATACTACTCATCTGCGATGCATTGAAATGTTTGGTTCTATTTAAATGACGTGGCATCATTCAATTGTCAAATTTTAAATGATTTGGTAATATTAAATAATTTTATATTATTTTCATATTTTAAGTGTATTTTTTTTCTTTTTCCTCTCTCTTCTCTTCCTCAATTTTAGTCCTAAAATCCTTTCCTAATTTTCGGACACATTTATGGGAATTCAAGGAGCTCTTGCATTTCCCTAATTTTCTCCCATGCAAGTCCTTGTATTAACAACTTGCCCTAGCCTCGCTCCATTTCCACAAATTCAGCATCTAATTGGATTTCCAAATACACCGATCATCCATCAATTCACAGATTAACTCGATCTCCCCGTGTTTGGAATTCAAAACTCAAACCCTCAACATTCATTTACTAACAATTAAGCAAAATTTAATCAATACAAAATCATAAAATTTAAAGACCAAACTGTTAGTTTTTTTAAACTCATAGACCAAATAGAAATTTATCTTCAAACTCAATGACCAAAAGTGTATTTTACCTTGCATTTTTCGAATTAATAACAGTGTAGTTATCCTCTGTGGGTATTGGCAGGGTAGGCTGTCCACACCAGCCAATCAAAAAATTTGACCAATTGATTTATCAATATTTAACTCTGTCGATGTGGCTATGACTTTTGGAAAAGTCTGCTGCGAGTTCGCGACCCAATGGGCTTATCCTAATGGGCTTACTTTGGGCTGCAAGCTAGCCCACTTTGTATCCGAATCCAATGGGCTGGATCTGTCGCTATTCAACTTGTAAATTTCTCGCTCGACACAAAACTATAATAATCATAAGTATAGCTCAATAGTAAAATATTAGTATTATAAAAAATGTTAAGACATTATTAATTTATTTATTGAAATATCCAAATTTCGACCCTACATTTATAATGTTGTATTGGATTAAGCCGTTGATTTAAAGTACTCTTACAGTAAAAAAGTTATTTTCAAGATTAAATTTATTAAAGTTGAGTTGACTGAATTTTTTAAGTTTTACAATTACTAAGGACCTTATCGTAGTAGTTGATTTATTAAAGTGTGAGATCAATGAAACAAAATTACTTTTACAAATTTCAAATTTATAATTCTAATTTGGTTTATGTAGTTAATAATTTAAATTAAGTTACAATATCAATCTAGATTATGGACAAGCCAATTGTTTTTTAGAATTAAATTTTGTAATGAATTACCAGAAAATAAGGAAGGCATATTTAAAATAAATTTTTAAGGTTATATACACGGTTTTAAAATTCTATTAACATTCTATATGTCTATGAATTCGACATTAAAGATAAGTGGACATTTTAATCGTGTTGTAAAAAAATCGATCAGTTGTAAAAAATATCAATAAAATATCACTAACGTGGATATAATATTAATACTAAAATTTTTTTAATTTATTTAAAAAATGCGAAGTGTTTATTTATTTATTTTCAACAATAAAGTGTTTATTTGTTAAATTAAATTCATTATATTAGTTTCTTTATTTTTTTAATTTTTTTTTAAGAATATTCATCAACATCAATATCTTATCAATATTTCCATGAGACATCGATATTTTTATCAACATTGGTATTTAAAATCTTGATTATATATAAAATTTTATCTCTAATTAATGTTTGAATCGTATTTGGATTTTGTCATAATTTCAATTTCATCTTCAGGAATGATTTTTGTTTTCATGGCTTGCTTTCATAACTGCTTTATCATGTAAAAAATTAGAGTTACTTTGTATTAGTTCCAAAAAATCATAAAATTTGGATGGTACAAATTTCAAAAATTAAAGTAGAACAAAATAAAGACTTTAACGAAATTAAATTCCCATGCGAATATTCTATAAATGAGGCACTTTTTTTTTTCCTTCCTTTAAAAATTTGTTTATAATTGAGAAAGATACGCTGATTTATTTCAAGAACAAAGTTTTTTGTTTTTTGAAACAAAGAAACATTGCATTAAATATAAATAATATCATTAAGGATTACATCTCAAGAGTGGTGATCAGACATCACCATCACAATCCACAAACGAAAATAATTGTCTCAAAAGACATAGAAACGATCAGAAATAACACATTTGGCCAATGAAACAACTTGCCTAACAATAAAAAAGTTTGATCTAACTAATTTTATGAAATTCATAAATATAGTTCAAATATAAAGCCAAATAACGTTAAATTGCACAGTCTATTTATATCTACAATTTGTAATGACAATAAATGTGATTTGAAAGGTAAAAATGCTGAACTTCCTTTTGTTCGTCAAAACAAGCATAACTCAACAATAATTGTCATATATCAACTCAGAGGATGTGAGTTCGATCTCCTATCTCCTCGTATTGTACTAAAAAAAATTTCTTTTTGTTTTATTTAATTATATAAAAAAAATGAAACTTCCTTTTTGTTTTCTAGTGATCTATTCACTTTATGGTATTGATTAGTTTCATTAAAATTTTGCCAAAAAGGTCTCTGTCATTTAATCAAATTAAGAGGGTGTTTCTTGTGGGTTGGCATCTTAAATTAAACCTCGGATACAGTTGGGGGGTTTAATAGGTTTTTTTCTTTTTTAACTTTTATTTTTCCTCGTTGTTTGGTGAACCATTTAATCCTTAGGGATCGTTTGTGTGACACCCGACTAGAGGGGAGGGATACATGAATGAACCGATATGACATCCGAATGAGAGGGATATTAAGACCATGGAAAAAGAAATGATAGTCACTATTTATACCAACAAAGTGCACTCTCCTTTTCGGTGGCTCAATCATCTTTCAATTTTCTTTTAGTTTTTTTTTTTCCTTTCTAATCAACGTATCTTTTCCTCTCAACTATACTCTTCCTCTCTAAAATTAAATATTTTTCTTTATCACTATAAAATTGATCTTTTAAAAGTTTATTTCTATCCCTCTAAACTTGTATTTTCATATCTCTACATTAGGGATGACAAAAGTTCACACAAGGTCGGGTCGCTGCTCCAGCAATAGAAAATACATGTCCCGATCCGAACCTCGATTTCGTTTTTTAAATAATTAATATATATTTTATTGACATATATATTAAATTGTGAATAAAGTATTAAATATATTTTTTTAATTAATTATTTATACTAGTAAATAATAATTCTAAAAATAATTAAGTATTACTGTTTCTCTAATCACCAAATATAATAGTTTTTCACGAATCACTAATGACTTTGATCAAGGTAATTAATATCTTTTTAATTTTTGTGAAAAGTCGTCTATTAAATAATCGATGGTAGACTTTATTAAGTACTAATGAGCTATAATTATAATAATAGTTGAGTGAAGTATTCTACTTTATTCAATATTTATAATTTTTAAGCGGTCACTTTTGTATTATTTTAATACAACAAATGTGAGATGAGGAATTGAGCTTCTACCTCTCGAGAAGAAATAAAATGTCTTAACTTTTGAATTATGCTAATATTTTATTGACCAAAACTTCGTGAGTTTGAATCTCAATCTCCACTTGTTGTATAAAACAAATAGTTGGTAATTTTTTTAATGTATAATTTAATGGRAAGATGGAATTTGAAGCTATGGAATTACTTTTAAAAATTGTTTACCTATTACATGCTTGAAAGATAACATTTAAAAAGGGACAATTTGATATGAGAAGAAGAATATAGTCGTAATATAATATAAGTTAGCAATCTAAAATTATTGCAACCATAGCTCAACTAGTTAAAGGTAGATATGAATATTAGGAGTGTTCAAAAGATTCGACAATCCAAAAATCTGGATCTAACCCAACTCAATTTGTACGTTTTGGATTGAGTTAATTTGAAATAAACGAAAACTCTATTAATTAGGTTAGTTCATGTGTTGATTTAAAATAAGTCAAAAGTTATTATTAGTTTTTAAGATTATTATTCTTTTTTATTATTTATTCTCCAATAACTTTTTAAATTTTTTTAGAGTAGTTTTCAATCATATAAATAAATATGTAAATATATGTTAAGATTATAGTATTTGCTTTTGCTTTTTTGTTTTTTTTTAAAGATAAATCAATTTTAATTATTTTTCTTTATTTTTTTAAAACCCAACTCTTCCACGTGAGCATTTAATTAAAGTAAAGGAAAGAAAGAAATTAATAGATCAAGAGAGTACTGTGTCAAAAAAAAAATCAAGAGAGTACTGTTGACTTTTAATTTCCATATAATTACCAAATTAAATGTATGGTTGTGGAGATTTTTTTTTTAATTTTAAAAAATAATGACTACCCATCTTTATTGATTTTGTAATATACTTTTATTACTTTTTTTTTTCTAAATTATAGTGAAATTTTAAAAACTAAAAATGGTAAATTTTGTTTTGTGTCTTTAAAATTTAGTTAAGAAGTAAAAAAAAAAAGAAGAGTTTTTAATAATGTGAGGAACAAATAAAGCAATCCTAAGAAAATAAATTGGATTTTTAAAATAGAAAAAAAGTTATTGTTACCCAATTTAGCCCCTAAACTTTAATTTGTAATGATTTAGTCATGTATTTTTAAATTCTAGCGTCTAATTTATATACAAGATAAGGCTAACATTTGAATTATATGTATAAAGTACGACGTTTGGGAATGAAGATTCGAACTCACAACCTCTTTATCGGAAAGTGGTACCTTATGTTTGACCATTGAAATAAATATATAAAACATTATATAACATAATAGTGATTGAAGTACTTGCATATTTAATATTTCTTTTAAAAATTGATATTCATGGGTAAAATATATTTTAGGTTATTGAACTTGATTTCTATTTGGTATTGAATTTTTAAAAGCATCATTTTAGTCCTTGAAATTAGATTTAGTTTCTAGTTGATTCTTGAGGTTTTCAAAATGACACGTTTGGTCGCTAAATGTTCGTTTGATAATGTTTCTATTTCTTTTGTTTTTCGTTTTCAATTTTCTTGAAAATTTTAATAATTTTGTAATTAATTTTGGACCCGTTTGATAACGTTGCCGTTTCTTGTTTATGTTTCTTCCTTTTTAATAAAGAAAAATATAATTGCATGTCCCTAACACCCATAAATTCAAAGATGATCAAACACGATTTATATGTATGTTTTGTAACAAATTGGAAACGGAAACAAGAAACAAAAAACTTGTTTTGATTGTTCCCAAAATCTCTATACAATTTTGAGAATGTTTYTAAAAAACGAGAAATAAGAGACATAATTAATTGTAAAATACTTAGATTTCTTAACAAAATGATAACGTAACAATTAATATATGTCAACTCGACTTTGCTTATGTGTATATTTYAAACGAGTGGACAAATTTTATCATGTTTTTATTAATTTTGCCCTAAGTGGCATTATCTCTCTCCTCTTTTCATTCCTTTTGCCTTRCCTTCTTAGTTTCTTCCTCGTTCATGCTTTTGAAAACAAAACTGCATTTATTTACCGTTCTTGATTCTTGTTCTTAATCGGAAAAAAATATATAAACATGTTTGGTATCATTTCTTATTTCTCATCCTCCAAATTTTAAATTAATAAAGTAAATTTTTTATATGAAAAATAATTTTAAATTAAATATTAAATATTTTATGTTATATTTGTTTTTTATTATTTATTCTTATAAGTCAATAATGATAAAATAATGCTTTCATTTATGTTTTGAAAAAATAGAAACAGAAATAATAAAATAAAAATCTTGATTCTTTTATTACAAAATTTTTGCACAAATATGAATATACATTTATTAAAAATGAGAAACGACATAAATAGTTATCAAATACTTATATTTCTTAAAAATTAACAAATATAAAAAAGAAACACTTAAATATATATTATGAATCCACTCTATCTATAGTAAATAGCCGTTATTGTAATTAGCAAAATTGCATTTCTTTTTTCCTCATATATTATGAATATTAATCCATTTTTCACATCAACTTCAAGGTTTGAGACAATAAACTAATTTTCTTAAGGTTGTTAGGTTGAAATTCTATTTTCAAATTTATAACATAATTTCATCGCTCTAGTCTAAACTTTGTAACGACTCTCTATCGTAAAGAAATGTTGTTAAGATTTAATCAGATTTCGTATACATGTAGATCGATAAAATGATAAAGGACCAAATGTATGTTTATAAACTACAAAGACACAAATTATTACTTAATAAAAATGAACACTCAATTTTGATGAGATTTTTTAAGGAAAGATTTTTTTAAAATTGTTWCGAGTATTTTACTACACGTGAACTAAATTATTACATGTTAAAGTTCAGATACTAAATTGTTACTAATTTAAAATTACARCTACATTACAAATTAAAGTACATCAGGACAAAATTATTTTTTAACCTTATTTTGTAACTCTTAGTAATTTTTTTAAAATATAACATTAATAAACCTTTTAAATGCGGTTCGTGTTGACCAATTAATATTGTTTAGACCATTTGTTAGTATCTATTAAAAAAAAATTAATGATGGTACAACGTTTCCTTTTTTCTTTTTGTGCTAAATGAAAATATATATTCCTCTCTTTACTATAATGCTAAAGATAATATGAATATCTCAAAATTTAAAAAGATTTTAAGTTAAATTTCACCATACTTTCACATTTGTATCAGACATTTGTCAATATACTTTTCAAATTTTTATTTTCTATCTTTATACTTTAATTTAATAATTTTATTATATAATTTCTATCATTAATGAGTGACGTGTAATGAAAAATTAATTTATATTTATCTCGATACAATCAATAGCATAGCAAATATTATTGTGGTCATTGCTAACCCGAATATAAAATGTGAGTTCGAATTTCCACCCACATATTATAATATATATATATATATATATATATATATATATATATATATTATTGGGGTAAATTGGGACCTTTATGGATTAGCGAAGGGATCTTTTTTTATTTTTATTTTTATTTCTGAAAAGGAAGGGATCTTACTTTTTAATTAGTGATATTTTTTCTCATTTATTAATAATATCTTATAAATATACTAAAAAGAATTGCTAAATACAATAATTGAAACTCTCTCTGTTTTTTTTTTATATATTTGTAACTTTTTTTTCATCAATTGGATAGACAGTAATAAAGCTAATTTCAGCCCAAACRAATATAGTTCATCGTTTTTTAATTTGTGAAACATTTTTATTTCCATCTATCATTAATTGATATCRGTTTGATAGATAGTAAGAAAACTAATTTCAACCAAAGCGAGCTTATTTCACCGGTAATTAACATATATCTTAAATCAAGAGGTTGTGTGTTCAATCTCCCACCCTAGTAATAAAAAAAAAATCCTAATTTCAATTATAGGGAGCCTAACTTTATTTAAAACCTAGAGAAAATAATTTATTTAATTCCCAATAAAATTGTTATTATTGTATCAAACTACATATTTAATATTTAGTCTTTTGATGTATCTATTTAATCTCTAACTTTTAAATATGTTTAATTATTTTGAATAATTGAAAATTAATATCTAAACTCAGCATTCAAAGTGTTTAAAAAGAGGAAAATTATATTAAATGTCATAAAACAAATATGTATTTATAAAAATATAATCGTTATTATTATTTTTTAAATATCACAAAAGTAGAGAAAATAATTTATTTAATTATCAAGAGAATTGTTATTATTGTATCAAACTACATCTTTAGTCTTTGTATTGTATCTATTTAATCTCATAAAATAAAWATGTGTTTATAAAAATATCATTATTYTTTTTAAATATCACAAAAGTGACTTTTTATTAGTTTTATGTGATCCTATAAACTTGTAAGTTACACTACTTTTGTAAAGTTTAAAACCTAATATTATATATATAAATACATAAATTTTATCAAAAGTGCMAGTAATGCATCAATGCGTAACTATTTAACAAGTGGATTTACTGTAAATACTAGTTTGGCTCATTATTGTCAATRTAATGGTCTATTTCTTCAAATTCATATCATGGTATGCGCTTTCGTGTAGTCTGGGTGGAGACTATATTCACGCTAAGATCGGAGGTTCAAACTCCCATACTATTAATTTATTGTATTACAAAAATATATTTAAGAGTTTAATTGCAACATAGTGATTCATCCGATTTAAAATAGGAATATGTGAGGATAGTTTTGCAATTTTCCTTAAAATTAAATAATCGAATTATTAAAACAAAAATGTTTAAATTTAGAAACAAAATAGTTTTTCCCCCTTCRTTTACAACTATATTTTCCAGCGAACAGAAATACGACGTCGTCAGGTCAAATCATATAACAGAGTCGGGAACTTCTTCTACTTGATGGATTCCGAGCGGTTTCTTTTTCTTTCATGAATTCTTCTTTTTCTCTTTCGCTTCTCCTCCACATCCCTCTGTCGCCTTTCATTTTATTTAAGAAGTTCAGAGCGCCGGAATTCTGATTTCTCCGGCGGTCGGATGAAGCATTAGTGGCCAGAAAACGACGTCGTCGCCTGCTATTGCCGGTTTCCGCCGGAAGATTCGACGGAGATGAACCAGATAACGCTGAATGTTTGTAGCTGCTGTTACTGATGATTTTTAGACACTTGTTTTATTCGGTGGTGATCAATGCGTATGGTTCGAGGACGGCGAGGAGTCTGAAAATTCATTAATGGAGGTCGAATCGGAAGCAATAACTCGCTGACTGTAGGCGAGCAGATTAAACCGGTCCCCTAGGGTTTTGGTGAATTTTTTAGGGTTTTTCAATTTGAAAAGAAGCCGAAATTGGAATTTATGACTACGGGATTGGCAGGGGACGATTTCGGTCGAATAGCGAATAGCCGGCGGAGCGGGGATTCGTCGGGGAGCCGCCGGAGTTGGGCGTCGGCGAGCATACGGGAGTTATGGCAGACGCCGCCGGACGTGTTTACGAGAAGCGGAAGAATGGACGACGAGGAAGAGCTACGGTGGGCGGCCATCGAGCGGCTTCCGACGTACGATCGGATGCGGAAGGGAATGCTCCGGCAAGTTCTGGACAATGGCAAGGTGGTTCACCGCGAAATCGACGTGACGGCGCTCGGATTTCAGGAGAGGAAACAGTTGATGGAAAGCATGTTGAAGGTTGTCGAAGAAGATAACGAGAAATTTCTCCGACGGCTCAGAGACAGAACCGATCGGTAAGCCCTAAAAACGCCATAATAGAAATTTCTTGTCTCGAATCGCGACCGATTTGAGGTATTTTTGGTGCAGAGTGGGGATTGAAATTCCGAGAATCGAAGTTCGTTTCCAGAATTTGTCAGTCGAAGGAGARGTTTACGTTGGGAACAGAGCACTGCCCACTCTGCTCAATGGCACCCTTAACACCCTTGAGGTATTTTTTCCAATTTCCAATTCGTTTGCATTACGAAAAAAAGTTTTTATTGRGTAAACTTTTTTAATTCAACTCATAAATATTTTAGGTTTAAATTACACTTTGATTTATAAACTTTTACAAACTTTTAGATTTCATAAAATAGAAAAATAAAGAGACTGTGAAGACTGAAATATAACCTTTAAAGTTGATGGATCTTGAAAGTTTCGACTAAAATTGAATTAGACTAATATTTTATTTTAAATTTTAATTTTTTATAATGGAAAAACTTTTTGGAATTTGATATATAGGCTTATATATATGTTTTTGTCGAGTTTCAATTCATTAATAAATAAGTTTTTAGGTATTTGAAAACTATATTAAAATATTTGAGAATTAAGAACTAAGACCATGTTTACTTTACAGGAATGAATCAAAATGAATCRRAATGCTATTCATTTGATATTGTTTACCAGTAATTTTATGGAATAGAAACCARAATTACATTGTTTACTRAAAGTAAAACTATATGTAATATCATTTTCTTCTTTCTAGTTAATTATAAATACATTATGCTATTTTTTTTAATTACAATAACAATAAATTTTAATGTAATTTATTACTATATGGTTGATAATAAATATTATTTGTTATAACAATTTATTTAATATTAATAATAATGAATAATTAAAATAAAATYACATCCACTAAAATTCATTTTTATTAGAATTTAACATAAAATATTATTAAATTTTATTATTCTAGCATTCAATAACAATAAATTATATTTTAAAAAATATATTGATATTAATTAATAATAACAAAGTAAAAAAAAATATAAATTTATAATATTTTATAATAAAWTCATACCAACCAATAAATTAATAAAGAGAGAAAGTATAAAAGTAGTAAAGTAATTCTAAGAAATGTGTGGGACCCGCGAAATAAGGAATGAAAATAAGATTGATTAGGGTGTGGGGGAGGAATTCTTTGCGGAATGAGATTCCAAAATTTGAGTTAGGTTCTCATTTGTGAATGTAAACATCGCCTAATTATAACAATACACAATTACTTAGTTGATAAAATTATTTATTTGGAAATAAATGAGAGGCAGAAAATCATTTATAGCTTTTAAAAAAGGAATATGTATTAATACTAAATAAGAGGTACTAGAAGGAAGGGGTAGTTGTCAACTAGAGTTCACATCCCAAGCCCTCATGTTGTGTACTCAAAAGGGGGAGGGGGATTATTTATTTGTATGAAATGATTAAAAAATTATTTATTATCAATGTAATTAATTATATTGATTCATTTTTAGTATTAAAAATTTATGGAAAATTCATAATAAATAACATTAAATAAACATGTATTTATACAAATATCTTTACTTTTTATTTTTTTTCAAACCCCCAGAGTGATTTTTAGTTGGTTTCATGTGATTGTATAAGTATGCAATTTATGTCATTTTGTAAAATTTTAAACCTAATGCTATATATATAAATACATATGTCTTTTGTGCTAGTTTCTGTAATTCTCCCTAAATTAATCAACCATTTTGTATTAATGTTAGCAATGTTTTAAAAGGCTAAAGGCGGCCTCGAGGCTTTTTCTCTTGAAAAGGCGAGGCGTAAGCCTCAAGGCGGTATGAGGCGTAAGCCTCAATTTTAATTAAAAGAATTAAACAAATCCTAAATTTGTGTGGTCAAGTATTACCAAACATAATAGTTATATAAAATTATCAAAATATCCACCTGTTACTTGTCACTGAAAAAAAAATTCTAAAAAAACATCATAACATCACTACTAAAAAATTCTAAAAAAACATCATARCATCACTACTATTATCAYCAATARAACTTACTTATTCTATAAATTATTGTCTTCAATATTTTTTATTTTTAAAGTCTAGGTMGTAAAAGTAGTAATAGATTGAATTGTTACAACTCCTGCTTAGGATTCCATACAAAAAAAACCTTGATATTTTTTAAGAATTGGAAAAATTAATAGTATTCTTGTAATCATTACACGAGGCGTATACTTTAAGCCTCAGTGCGTTTTCAAAGAGGCGTAAGCCTCTTCTATGCGAGGCGTAAGCCTCTTCTAGTCCAAAGAAGGCGTAAGACTTGAGGCTAAAAGTTAGAGCCTTGCCTCAAGGCGGGCCTCAAGGCSTAAGCCTCAAAAGCCTTTTAAAACATTGAATGTTAGTTTAATTAGTATCAAGTAGTACTTAGTTTTAAATAGTAAATTGTAGTTAAGTATTTGTTAAAAAAAATTACRGTTAAGTGTTAATGTTTATAAATTTAAGTTGTTTACTTATAATATTAATTTAGTACTCATTTTTTAGAAGTTCAATATTTATTTTGATTTTGATTTATCTTTTATTAATTAAATGTATGTTTGATATTACTCGCTAATGACTATAGACTTTTTTTTGTTCAACGATATCTAAGGATGAGAATCAAGACCTCTACACTTTTTGTGGATGATATATGCCTTAATCAATATGGTTATAATTTTTAATTTAGTTAAAAATTATCTTTTAAGTTACAAAGAATCTAATAAAATAAAGAATATAAATGTATATTTTTTAAGTCACAAGACAAAACGACTTCTAAATTTTAAACATTAATCAACCAAAACAAATGTTGCGACCTAGGATAATAAAAGCATCAAATAGAGGATTAAATCACGCGGCAGCCATGTGACAAGTAGGTAATTATTTTTCTGATTATTATTGCTTTGAATGTTATGCAAAACAGAGTTGGCTTGGGTTGATTGGGTTGGCTCCATCTAAGAAGAGAAAGATTCAGATACTTAAAGATCTAAATGGAATTATCAAACCTTCGAGGTACAATCTTTCTAAAAATAAAAAAAGAAAAAAGAAAAATCACCCTCCCCTATTAGTTTTTTGAATATTACTTAATCATTTTTCTGGACTACAAATTTAATCCTATTTTGTTTTACAATAAATTTAAGTAAAAACAAACAGAGAAAATCCTACCTTATTTGTCGAACTTCGGTAGCTAATTTTCTTTTCGTCTATAAATTTTCAAATATTCTATTTTAGTCCACGAAATTTGTATAAAAAATAATTTTAGCCATTCACATCTTTTTTTTTTACACAAAAATATAACATAGATACATATTTTGTTTATTTTTCTAATGAGTTGATGTGCAGATAATATTTGAAGTCGCATCTACTATGGAAAAGAAGGTTCTCTAACTAATTTAAATCTTTGTTAAATGGTTGACGAAAAATTAATGACAATTACTAAAATAATTCTCATTCAAGAACTAAAACTGAACATTTAACAAGCAAGGAATATTTTTGAGATGGTTTTGAGGTATCTTTATTCCCTCTCAGGTCAATAAATGTGAATTTCCTTTAGTATCATCTTTGCTTCTCTTACCACTTCTTCCACTCTTTAAATTATTATTATTACTTTACTATGTTCTACATAACTGTTGCCTTGCTCCCTAGGATGTTGTTGGTGAATTGAGTATATGCTTTCTTTTTTCTGCTTTTCAGGATGACACTACTTCTGGGTCCTCCAAGCTCTGGGAAAACTACCTTGTTGCTGGCACTTGCTGGGAAACTTGATAAAAATTTGAAGGTGCTAAATTCAATGCATTGGTGAATTTTTTTCATAGTATATTTTGTAATAAATCATCTATTTATTTTTCATAATTATGATTTGTTTTAGGTTTAAATCCTGTTTGGGTCTCTTAAATTTCATGCATTATTATAGTCATTTCCATGGAAAATTAAAATAGGCATATATTTTGTTGGTTTATTCAACGGGTTGATGTCTAATGGTACAATTATTTGAAGTCTCATGTGATAGGTCAAGTTCTGTTTCAAAATTGATACAACTTGTGTTAAATAATTAATAAACCATTAAGRATGACCAATAATTTTTTATAAAAGGTTGAGGGGTTAAAATAAGATATTTGAAAGTTGAAAGACTCGTTATGTAAAAGTTTAAGCACAAAAGAGAAATTAGTGCTTGCAAAATGTCAACAGGAAAGTGGGAAAGTGACATATTGCGGGCATGAAATGCATGAGTTTGTGCCTCAAAGAACTTGTGCTTATATCAGTCAAC